TACATCATTCAAAAATGTTCATGACATTTATCATTGTCTCCTAAATTACTGCTAATATACTCTGTAGAAAGAAAAAAATGTGGTGCTGAAATTACTTGTAAGTGTTAATTAAGTGCTTAAGAGCGGTAAGACTTTTAAGATAATGATTTAAGTGGGCCTTGAGATAGTTGAAATAAATGGGCCTAGAGAGACATCTATTAGTCGGTTTAAAAAAAATTCCCGAATTGTTTACCGGTTCAGTATCTAATTTTAAAATCGGCAAAATCCAACACAAAAACCAAACCGGATCACTCAATACGCTGCGTTTTACCCTCGCTTATAAAAAGGTCACTTCAAAGCTGAAAGCGGTAGTGAACCGACGAGAAGCAGCGGCGGCCGTCATGGATTCATCGCCGAACACAAACAAAGCCTTAACGGAAACACGTTTCTCCGACCTCGAACCATCACTCTCCGGCGATATCATCGAGGCGCTTAACCGGTCCGGTTTCGAATTCTGCACTCCTGTTCAAGCCGCAACGATCCCTTTACTCTGCAGCTACAAGGATGTTGCCGTCGACGCAGCCACCGGTTCTGGAAAAACCCTAGCTTTCCTCGTCCCACTCGTAGAACTTCTCCGTCGATCCACCTCCTATCCTCCGAAGTCTCATGAGGTAAGAGAATTGGCAGAATTTGTCGACTAATCTGTAAAATTAGGATTTTTAGGCATTAAGAGCATTACAGTAATTGGAAGTCTTCTTAGTTTTAGTGAATCCTCTGAAATGCTGTTTTTTGTTTCCTGGGAAGTAATGGGTTTTATGTTACAGTTTCAATCTTTGGTTTTTTGGATTGTGGGCTGGTGGAGTTTGATTTGTGTGTTTAGGATTGATGCATATTGTTGAGATCTAACTACAGGTTATGGCGGTAATTATATCGCCAACAAGGGAGTTATCGACGCAGATATATAACGTGGCACAGCCATTTGTTTCGACTTTGCCAAATGTGAACTCTGTGTTGCTTGTTGGAGGCAGAGAAGTGAAAGCTGACGTGAAGATTATAGAAGAAGAAGGAGGCAATATATTGATTGGTACGCCTGGAAGGCTCGCTGATATAATGGAACGAATGGAGATTCTCGATTTCAGAAATCTTGAGGTAGTTTTCTTCATTAAGGGATTTTGTTCATCAATACATGAGTGGAATTTACTTTCTTTCAAGAAATGTCTCACCGAGGTTTTAGATGAATGAACGGCAGTTTAGTTTGTTACTACAATTGGTTAAAATCTGCATTTTGATAATCTTTTTACATATGCAGATTCTTATCTTAGATGAGGCAGATAGGCTTTTGGAGATGGGATTCCAGAAGCAAGTGAATAGCATTATATCTCGCTTGCCAAAGCAACGAAGGACTGGCCTCTTTTCAGCTACACAAACAGAAGGAGTTCAAGAGCTTGCTAAGGCTGGGCTTAGGAATCCTATGAGAGTTGAGGTTCAAGCTGAGTCAAAGTCGGAATCATCCCAGAAGTTGACCAACTCGAAAACGCCTTCTGGATTGTACCTTGAGGTATAATGTCAATATATATCTCTGTGTGTGTGTATGCTTGTGTCCCTATATATTTCAGAGTAGTAAGTTTTCTTTTTTAATATCCTGCATTATTATTTAGCATGATTCTGACCTTATTTATGAAGTTTTTTTCTACTACTTGTAGAAGTCTTAGTAGTACAACATTTCTCTTGGTAGTTCTTTGGTACTCCTTTCCATAGCACGCTATTGTTTCTTGTAATCGATTGCAAGTTTTGGTTGTCCCAAATATTGATAAATATGTTGCATAGGTGCACAATTTTGTTTGCAGAAATAGATATGCTATCTTTATCATTTCTTGCGTCATGCATTTCTTAGCGGTTTATTTCTCCTTGTCTCTGCAGTATTTGGAATGCGAAGCAGATGAGAAATCATCACAGCTAGTGGACCTCCTCATCAAGAACAAAAATAAAAAGCTTATAGTGTAAGTTTAAAGCATTCCACACAGACTTATAAGATTAAACATCCTTATAAATAGTATAAGTGTCGCTGCAGATACTTCATGACTTGTGCTTCTGTTGATTACTGGGGACTCGTACTCTCAAAAATTCCTGAACTGAAGTCCATTTCTTTAATTCCTATTCATGGGGACATGAAGCAGGTAAGCTACCATGATATAATTTTCCTTACCATCTCATTGCCTGTTGTTATTAAGGGTTTTGATGAAATATACTTTACACATCAGAACGCAAGAGACAAGGCATTATCTTCATTTACGGAAGCATCAAGCGGTGCTCTTCTATGCACAGATGTAGCTGCACGTGGACTTGATATTCCAGGCATTGATTACGTAGTTCAGGTAGATTCAATAATGCTTGTTTTCATTATTATGCCATCTTTTTTGCTAAATTTAGGAATGACAGTTGCAATTTGTCGTGGTCATGCAGTATGATCCCCCACAAGACCCAAGTATGTTCATCCATAGAGTTGGCAGAACTGCAAGATTGGGAAGACAAGGGAGGGCCATTGTGTTCTTACTGCCCAAGGTTTAGCTTTGAGCATTTTTTATGTTCTCTATGGTTACATTGCAGATCATACAAAGCTTAAAAATTCACTTGTACGTGTGTAGGAGGAAGCCTATGTAGAGTTTATGCGCATAAAAGGGGAAACTCTTCAAGAGAGAAAATGCTCTGAGGAAGCATCCGATGTCATCCCGATTGTAAGAAAACCTTCATTCTTCTCTCTCTTTCTCTTGGTCTCTGTTGGTCACAGGGTTTAGTAATTGCTACAATGTATACAGATACGTTCACTAGCCATGAAGGACCGGGCAGTGTTGGAGAAGGGATTAAAGGCATTTGTTTCCTTTGTCCGTGCTTATAAGGAGCATCACTGCTCTTTCATTTTTAGGTGAGGCGTAATAACTTTTTATATTGTTTCCAAATATTTTCTCGCTCTTTAATTTTGTAATTCAAATTTTTGTTCTTCTTTTCCTAACTTACAGATGGAAAGACCTTGAAATCGGAAAGTTAGCCATGGGATATGGCCTCTTGTATCTTCCTTCAATGTCTGAAGTCAAACAACACAGACTTTCCAGTGAAGGTTTTACGCCCGTTGAAGGCATCAAGTTTGAGGAGATAAAATTCAAGTAGGTTTTTTCTACCAAAATCCTTTAACAC